TTCTCCCTAGTCTGTCTTTTGTTCATATGTAGAATCCCTTCCTGTTATCTTTCACATCCTTAGCCAAGTTTACTTCTAACTGGGCCTTAGCTTTCCTAACCTGGTCCCCAGCTTCTCGGACAACACCCATGTATTCTTCACAGGCCGCCTGTCCTTGCTTCCACCTTTTATAAGCCTCTTTTTGCCTTCTCAGTTTCCTCAGGAGCTCCTTATCCATCCAAGGAGGTCTCCTGGCCCTCCTGCTGCGCTTCCCTCTGGTTGGGATGCAACACTCCTGAGCTTGTAGCAGGCGATCCTTGAATATCAACCGACAGTCTTGGGCGCCTCTGCCCTCTAGGGCTGTATCCCATGGAACCTTCCTAAGCAGGTTCCTGAAGAGGCCAAAATCTGCTCTTTTGCAGTCCAGGGCAGTGAGCTTGCTGCACGCTCTTCTCACTGTCCTGAGGATCTCAAACTCGACCATCTCATGATCGCTGCATCCAAGGCTGCCCTAGAGAGTCACATTTCCAACGAGCCCTTCCCTGTTGGTGAGCACGAGGTCATGCATGGCACCTCTCCTTGTCTGCTCCTCTATTACTTGCAGAAGGAAGTTGTCTTCCACACAACTGAGGAACCTCCTGGATTGCCTGTGCTGGGCCGTACCATCCCTCCAGCAGATACCAGGGTGGTCAAATTCCCCCATGAGAACAGGGACCTGAGAGTGTGAGGCTGTTCCTACCTGTCTGTAGAGTGCTTTATCCACAGACTCCTCTTGATCAGGCGGTCTGTAACAGATCTCCACGGTAATGTCTCCTGTTACCATTCTCCCTTTAGCCCTGACCCACAAACTCTCTATTGACTGCTCACCTGTCCCCAGACAAAATTCCATGCTACGGATTATCCCTAACATAAATAACAACTCCCCTCCCCATCTGCCAGGCCTGTCTTTTCTAAAGAGCCTAAAATAATGACCCTTCTGCAGGAAAAATTCTTCTCCACTTGATAGTGATTGACCAGAAGGCTGCTAGTCAATACCGTGACAGTGTGGGAACAATCTTGTCTTTTGTTAATGTAGGCCACAGTCCCTTCATATAGCCTGGTTTGAAATTTGTAACATGTAAGTAAATAGAGACAAACTGATGCTGCTGCCACTGTCTCTGGACACTGCTCCTTTGGGTCAGGAGTTTCCAAAGCATTGCTTCACCCTCTTCAAGCTCTGCCATCAGTATACATTAATGCCCAGTGGTCAGACACCTAACAGACCTTCTACCTCTGCAGCACCACAACACCCTCTCTCTTAGCAGTTTTTTTTCAGTGATCATGGCAGAACCCTTATTTAATATCAATTAATTTTCTTCATGAGCAGACCCACCATGTTCAATCTTAAAAAAACTCTCAATAGGTTTCAGCAGTACTCCCACTAGCAGCTTTGTTGAATTCCATCAAGCCTGGATCTCATGGGTAGAATATTTGATTTCCTCAGACTTGCATCCAGTTAGCTGGACACACAGTAAAGTTCAATGTTATTTAGTTATTAGCTTTGCATGAAGATGAAGTTGGAAACCTCAGTTTTTAATATAGGTAGTGCTCAGAAAAACAACACAAGATTTTGTTGGTAGTCTAAATGGAAACTATCCCATTATTGAGGACAAGAAGGATTTTGCTGAAGCAAGGCAAGACAACTGATTGCGAAAGAGCATGTTATACTCACTGAGACAGAAGCAAGGCAAGACAACTGATTGTAAAAGAGGGTGTTATACTTGCTGAGACAGACACATGCAGATGCACTTCAGAGAGAAAAGGCACAGAAGACTCACAGAGACATTTTTCTTTCTTTCTTTTCTCTCCCCTGTTTACAGAGGGAAAAATTGCAAACATTTTCATTTGGGAGATTTACCTAATTTCACAAAGTCAGATATCTTTTTTGAATTTTAGAACAAGAAGGAAAAATCAGATAGTTTCATCAGGTAAAGCTTAACATGTTCTGAGATACTGATCAGCTCAAAAGCTGAAATAGCGAATGGTTGAAGAAAGAGACAAGTACAGGGTAGCCCAGCATCTACAATGCAGCAACTTCACTGTTGTCTTTGGGGCTGAGCCTTGCTGCATTTCACTTTCAGTGAACAAGCATTGGGTGGTGTATTACAACATAAATACTTTCAAACAAAATGGTTTTTTGGAAGTTATACTATCTTTACTTTCAGGAAACCTGGGAGCTGGTAGAAAATGCACTTCATATGCCAAAGACCTGAAACTTGATATCTCTCTTGTATCAACTGCTATTAGCAGTTCATAGCAACTTCATAGCTAGCATTTTTTATTGGAGCAGCATTTACAACGTGCTTTTGCCTTGCCTGTTTGCAATCTATTCCCATCAATAATTGCCACCTGTATAGATTGCACAATGAATGTTTCAGAAAGAAAATTTACTTAGAAGTTTAGTCCCTGGGTAGTAAATATTAATTAGGCACTTAAAATACTGTTATGAAGCAGCTTTTGTGATACGGAGGGCATGTTTTTCTGTCAGCTGCTCAATATTTATTTTAAGCATATTAAACCACCCTAGAACTATTCAGTGCACGAAAACCTTTTCATGTTTGAATGGATTAAATTTACAAGTTCAAATTAATGCTATAAATTACATTTACATAATTCAGTCTCTACAAAGAGAATTTGTTTCGCATGTGTAGCTGTTAATATATGCAATTGAAGACAAAACCACAACACACTATTGTTACTAATTTGGACTAAGCAGAGTTTATAGACCATTTCAGCCCATTATTTGTTTGTTTGCTGCATCTTTTCTTCAGTAGTTGTGTTTCACAATTAAGTGGCATGCATATGTGTTCTCAGATAAAAAGGGTCTTGCTAAGTAAACTCACACAGGCCTCGCTTTGATTCTTAGGAACATAATAATGCCTAAAAAGCTATTATGAGTATTATGTTTATTAGAATAAATAGGAAAAGGCAACTGGGGAGAAGCAAAGTAGTTGAACAGAATGTTAGGCACTAATGTCTCTTCTTGCTGACTTGAAACATCTGCAAGAAAAACTAATCCGAGACCAAATATTCATTAGTATTATGCTTTGATTTTAAAAAGACAACATTTTCCTAAAGTTAACCAAGGCACCTGGCCAGTTGGTATCTTTGAAATTAATGGAAGTTTTGTGGCTAAGTCCCTCTACCGTTTTAAAGCCCCAGACCCCATTGTAATTTCCTACACCTGAAACCACTTGTACACTTGACATGGTTAATGTCTGTAATTTGTTTTGAAAAATTTAACATCTTTATTACCCTAATACTTGCTTTCAGAAAACATGCTTTGTATCTTACTAACAACCAGTGATGTTCGAAAGTATGAAGTATGGGCACTTTATGTGGCATTTAATAGTCTGATCTTGAGTGATTTGTGTTCATTAATACATACTGGGGAAATCAAACTTTCCCCTGTCATCCATAGTTAGCTTTTAAATTAACAGAAACATTGAAATTATCCTCTCCTTTCTGCCTTTAACATGTTTGTGCTCTTATTAAGAAGAGAAACGGAACCCGGAAGTACCTACAAGCACCTGCCTGGCAGTCAAATAAAATAATTGAAGCCCAGGAGTTACTTAAGTGAATCTAATTTTTTCTTCCCTTTGTTGACCTCTACTTCTTTTAGCACAACATATGTACATAAATAAAATAATTCAAATAGAAAATTATGCCAGCCTCTTAAAGATTTATGTCCTGGTAACCCACACAGACATAAAATCAGATTATTGTTTAAGATTTATATAGTCAAAAGTTCTTGAACTGTAATTATTGTTACTATCATTATTCATTACCTCAGCACCCATTTCTAGAGCTTTTCTGGACAGGTTTTATTATTAGTGCCATTTTATTATGTGTCATTTCAGACTTCATTTCAAAAACTCCCCAGATTTTTTCCCCACCACAAAAATTTTCTATAAAAATAAAATAAAAGAAAGCAAAATTAGATAAACCTTACAGTGAGGATGCAGGTTAGTGCCTTGACACAGAAATTTCCATCCTTGAATGCCTTTACACAGCACCTCAAGAATCCTTGTCACCATGGCCCTTTCTTGCTACCATACTCACCCCCTATGGGAAAGCATTACCACATTTTAGCATGGACTTCCACTGACAGCTGTGCACAGCCTTCAGCCAGCAACTGTGTTCTTCTCTGAGTTTTGTCTTGCTTGGAAAACAGGTGTAGAAGTGACACTAATAAACTGTGCTGACATAGGCAGCTCCTGAACAACTCAAAAAAGACACGAGGTTAAAAAGAAAGTATATGTATTTACAGCCCAGAGCCTATTTAGGGACTGTTAGGCAAAGCCTGCCTTAAGTCAGAGTCTACCTCCTCCAAGGAATGACATGGTGCTTTCTGAATCTGGAGGAACCTTTTATCATCAGAAAGCACATTTCACAGTTTTTGAGCTGAGAAGGACTGGCTGAGTTTCATCTGGTGCATTCTTACTGCTCACCCTCTGTGGTACTGTTAGCAACCCTAAGCAAGCAGGGCATTCATTTTACTATGCAAGGGCTTGGTCTTGTAGGTACTGAAACAGATCTTGTACCAGGGTTATACTGCTACCTGTTCCTCTAGTCATGGCAAGGGTGGTGGTATCTGCCTTTCAAATATGGGCTGTGGCTCCAGCTATGGAAATCCAGTCAAGGAAATACATGGTGGAGACCATCAACAAAACCAACAATACTGAGTCTGGTTGGGATGGAGTTAATTTTCTCATAGCAGTTCGTAGGGTGCTGTGTTTTACGTATGTAGCCAAAACAATGCTGACAGCATACCAGCATTTTAGCTACTGTGGAGCAGTGCTTGCACAGCATCCAAACCTCTGTTTTTTCCTCTGCCATCCCAGTGAGGAGGCTGGGGGTGGGCAAGTGATCGGTAGGGGAACACAACCAAACAGATGAGCTGAACTAACGGAAGAAATATTCCACATCATATGACATCATACTCAGCAACGAAACAGACAGAAGGGAACTTAGGGAGGTTTGCCACGTTTTGTCTGGGAACTGGCTGAGCATCAGTCAACCCATGGGAGGTGGCTAGTGATAGCTCTTGCATCACTTGTTTTGCTTCATTTTCTTTCTTTCTTCTTCCACTCCTCCTTTACATATTGAACAATTTTTATCTGGACCCACAAGGTTTTTTGCTTTTACTCTTTCTTTACTCTTCTCCTGTCCCACCAGGGGTGAAGGGGGAAAGTGAGTGAGCTGCCTACCCAGGTTAACTCACATCGTATTATTCACTGAAATACATTAATATATAATATTAAAGGGCTGAAATTTCTCTATTATTACTGAGCTGAGTGCACTACTAACAGCATAAGTTATAAGAAATTTAAACTTTAAACTGATGCTACTTTCATTGAGTGATTGTATTTAAATCCTCCTTTTTTCTGTAATTATCCGGAAATTGTCAAGTTTTGTTCATAAATACTTGTCATATGACTGCACAAGCATGTCATGTTGTTTTCAAAGACTTTAATGATTTTAATTGAAATAATTTTCAAGTTCTGACTACAGGGAAGTCAAGGTACTCGACTCCTGCTGTTTTCTCTGACAATGGGAAGGACTGAGAGCTCTCTGCTGTTACACAGAAATGGGGGGGGGGGTGTGTCCTAACCTGACAACAGGCTTGGGAACTCTAGACTTTAATGTTGAGTGGAGTGTCCTCACTGCAAAGACAAGCCAGATTTTTTTTCTACTTCAGTTTGTCTATGCAGGTCAGCCTACCAATGTTCCCTTGCTGGCACATTGACAGCTGGTGTTTGTTACCCAGAAGTAGAGACAGATGTGTCCTGACGCCTTAATAAACCCTGAGGTTCTGTGATTCTTCCACGCTGATTCATAAAAGAACATGTTTCTTCCTTGGGTATGAAATGGGAGGCACTGGACACCTACATATCTAAAGCTAGCAGACATCAGCTGCACTCTCACTACAGAATGGACGGCTTAAGAAGCTGAGCCCAAAATCTGTTTCAGGATTTAGCACCTAGCCTAGATAGCAAACTAGCCACAGCTTGAGTCTGGGCAAGCTTTTAGCTGCTGAACAGGAAGAAGATTTATGTAAATTGTGTAGTAAATGCCCAGTTACACATTATAGTAAACATATGTCCAGGGATACCATCTGATGGGAAGTTTTGCTACTATTCAGGCAAAGAGCAGTCAACTTGGAAAGTGCCTCTAGGTCAATAAATGCAAAGCATTTGTAGCACATTGTGTTTAAGTCTGACACTGGGAAAAGTGCAAACACAGGGCTAACACACAGCAGGAAGTATTCCAGGATGTTGTAGTCCCTCATCAGAAACATCTGTAAGGTCTTTCTCTTTTACTCCTATATTGAAGGAATGTTTGACTCATACTGGAGCTGTTCAAGCCCATATTTAACAAGTTGTAAATAATAAGCACATCTTTTACATGTTTAGAGCTTAAAAAGAGCCTATTGAACAACAGCTGGTTACCAGCCAAATCGTGTTTTAGTAGAACTTGTGCTGTCTCTCAAACTGCACATAAAATACAGGCTGTGCTCTGAATTCCATTCGGTTCTCTGATTCCCTGTGTCTTGCTTTCACTGTCTTTCTCTATGCTGGAATATCAGATGGCTCCCACTCTCAGCAAAACTGCTGGCAGTTGGCCATTTGGAATAGACAACCACAAAATCCAGAGAGGCTTGCCCAACTTCTTTTTAAATGGATTTCACTGGACAAAATTTATCAAAAGCTGGAATTTTCCTGAGCAGTGGAGTATTTTAAAAGGTCAACTTGCTCTTTGGAAAGGGAAATGCTGTTTGTTTAATAATCCCTGTATTTCTCATTCCCACCTCAGTTTGCTAGTTTATCATATAGAACTGCCCCTGAAACATGATTGCTTAAAAATGTTTATGCATCAGCCAGAATGCTCCCCTTGTTTGACAAATGGACACATACACAAAGGACAAGCTATCAGTCTTAGAGTTCTCATAATGCAGCATGAACAATGTAGGCCCTTTAGAGTAGTATGTGAAAGAGCAGAAAGTGAATGAGTGGATAAACAATGGGCCCTCAGGAAACAATGGTAGATATGCTCTTTGATCTGTTTGACAGGCATTCTGCAGCTTCTCTGCAGGAGCAGGTGAGTGCTAAAAACAAGTAAGCTCACCAGGAAGAAATGAGCGCAGCATAAGGGGGGCAGAAATTACTGCTCAAGAAACCTCTGCTACAGAAGTTGATGGATGGTTTGTATTAGGGTCAACCAAAAATTTTGGGTGGAAAAGTGTGAATTTCCTGAACTTAATCACCACTTCAGCTTAGCAAACATGAATGTTCAAAAGAAAAGCAAAGGAACTAAGCTGTCACCAGTATACCTGTTTCAAGACATAATCACTCCCATTCACAAGGCCATTTCCTTCCTTTCATTTGCCATAGTTATCAAATAACTTGAAGTTTCAGCTAAAGAAAATAACTGAAAGAGGCTGGGCATCAGAAAACAGCATAGATATTGTGTTGGTACACTACAGACATAATGAGGAAGGTTTAATTAAAGGATTTTGTATTAATAAAGTCATTCTAACAAATGTCAGGCTTTTTTCCTACAACTGCTTTCCCTTACTCTACTGATACAAAACCCTGAGCTCCTGCATCTAATCCTGGCAATCTCCTCTCCCTGTAAGTCCCATCAACGAATATCTTCAGTTCCCTTCTTAGATGCTGTACAGGGACTATGGACAATCATTTCAGCATCTTCTGCTGCCATTAGTACTGCAGCCAAAGTCAGAGGAGCTGTCAGTGGTACTTCCTGTGCCAAAGTATTCTGTTTGTGTAGCCCTGCAAGTAGGAAAAATAGCACACCAGAGGATTACTTAAACTTTACAGGGCTTTTTCAGGCTCTGGTAATTTTTTTTTTTTTTAAGTGCTTTTAGTTCCTGAAATATAAGTTGTTATGAAAGTGTCAACTGTTATTGACCCAGCCCAAATTCTGATCTGTCAAAAATCAAACTTCAGGGCACATTATTGTGAATTTTCCATTTTACAGCTTTTACAGACAAAAATGATCTCCAGTCCCAATGCAGAGTATGTTGTACATTAGCATTTAAGAGAACACTGGAAAATGGAGAATAGGCATGGAAAAATATCTGGAATATATACTTAGAAAATGAAGTGGTGATAATCAACTAAGTTCTATTTACATTCAAGTTAAAGGAAATAACTTTAAGCAAACAAAATGATAAAGCCTGTAAACAGGTCTGTGATGATCTATTCTCAGAAAATTACTATTCTGATGTACATAAAAGAAATTAATGGACTCCTTAACAGCCTTCAAATGCTCCACATGCCTTCATACAGAAAGGGACATCTTAGAAAAAGCATTACTTGAGGATACCATTAATTCACTAAATAATGGAAAAACATCTGGCTTGGACGGCTTCCCATATAAATTCTATAAAGTTTTTAAAGAACCTCAGAGGTCCATTTTCTGTGCAACTATCAGCATGGTCTTTGAAAGTGGTGATGAGCCAAGATGTTTGGGGCAATTCTGGTTGAGACTGCACATATCCAGAATCATTCACCTATCTGCAAAGGCATTTCCAAAGAGCCTAAATCTTAAATTTCCCATTACTGAAAATCACAATTAGGTAATCTTTGTTCATAGAGATTATTTGATTATTAATAAACTTATTTATGGCTTTCTTGTATTAATCATAGAAAGTAGGAAAGTTCATTGCTCATGAAGTACAAAAATAATTTAATTACAATGCCTTAGCTTTTAAACAGTGATAATAGGCTTCTACATTTATATCAACAAATCATGTTGGAAATAACATTAGATTTTTAAAGGAAATATTGTTCCTTCAAAACAGAGAGCCAGGAATTAGTCAAAGAACCCTTTTTCTTCCATAAAATGCTGATTTCTCAAAACAAAAATTGTTGCTAGGAAATCATTCATTTCAAGGAAATCCCAATCTTGAAAAATGTTTGGAAAATTTTCAGAATTATCAAAATAGCCTGTTCAAAATGCAAGATCCATTTTTTTTCACTAGTGTACAAAATACAATGTGGTTACGGGAGCAGTTTTAGCAGATTATTGAAGTATGCCAAAGAAATGCTTTAACTGATCTGAGCCAAACTCACCCCTGACTGAAGGGCAGGGTATCCAGATTGAATCCTTTCACTGTATTTCCTAATTACCCATCCAGAAAGATCTCCCCAGCACCCTGAGGCAAGCAGCCCTTTCTGGCCTTCTCACAAAGACTGAGAACAGGACCTGTGAGCTGGTCATAGCAAGAGATGGAAGATTTTCCTCCCACTTTGTGTAAGCCAGAGCTGGCCCAAGGTTTTCGTAATGTGGACCATCTGGTCTGATGCTTTTGTCATTTTTTTTTCCTCACAGGGAACTGTGACCACAGCAGGGGGATTAATGCATAGTAAAAAAAAAAAAAAAAAAAAGAAAAGGTAATTGGAGTTTGCATTTGTTTTCCTGGCATTTTTAATTATTTTATAGTTTCTTCTCTGATTATTATTGACACTTCATCGTCCTATCAACTTAATGCTCTTACTCATTCTCCAACCTTTTTCTCACTCCAACCACTTTGTTTCTTCTAGTTACCTCTTTCTTTATTCCCACTCCCTGCTTATTTTCATCCCCTTAATTTCTGTTTCTCACTCTTACTGTTCTCTCTTTCTTGACTCCCCACCTCTGTCTTCTGTTTGTATTTCTTTCCCCATTCTCTGATTCTAACTTTACTCCTTTCCTTATGCTGCCACTCACATGGGTTTCCCTTCTCCCTAAAACCTCCCGTATTCTTCCCTCTTGGTAAGATATAAAGCTGAATAGCACTCATCCCAGTTGTTGTCATTTCTCCCCCAACCTCCCCCATCAGTTATCACAAGAACAGCAAAATTAAGGTGTCCAAGTGGCAAGTATTTGTATGTTTCACAAACTTCTCATACTGTTTTTCTTTTAATATTACCCATAGCTGTTTGCTATTTTTCTAAATATTTGAGACTGTCTGATAGGTAGCAGCTTAACCCAGAGCTTGCAGAAGACTCGTATAATGCTTGTGATTCTGAAGAAAACCTTGCAAATGCCTACTAAATGTGGCCATTGCAATGAGGTCAACCTGTAAAATGGACACTACTGCATTTCAGAGCTCTGACGCCTGAAATTCTTTGTATCAATATTATTAACCTTCTTTTTACCAATAGTTCTGGAAGGAACATTCAGTTTGTATGTTTTTAATACAGTGAAAAGCACCATGGATATTACGATAGTTTTCTGATCCTCGTCTAAATGAGAGCAGATAGGCCAGGTTCCTTGGCAAACAGAATTAAAAATATAAGCAGAAATGGCAAATGCAAACTACAGTAACATAACTAAATTGGCTTGTGGGAATTAGATCTACAGCTCATATTAGAGGAAAGAGGGGCAAGTATTTCTTCTTAGAGTATGACAAAAGCTTCCACTCCATGAACTGTACTGCCAACAAGGGTAGCAACATGCATACTGTCTGAAGGACTTCATAGTGTGCCAAGCCACTTGAGAGTCACTCTTGTGGTTACCATGTCATCAACTCCTCAATATGCTTTTGCTACAGTTGGAACTTTACTTGGAACTGCTACAGTTTCAGCCTCTGAAAAATTGCATTTAAAAAACCTAAAAGGGAGGGCTCTTGACTTAAGCCTGGAAACATTTGTGCTTCAGATATTGATGTCATTCTCTAAGTTTGTCCAGGGAAAAATAGGAAAACCAAAGTCTTTATACATTAATTTAGGTGTAGACCAATCAACAGAATATATTAGTTGTTCAGTCCCATATAAAAGCTTATTTTCTGCTTGTATTTTACATCTCACTTCAGAATGACTTCGGAAAGACTGTGTCAAATGTCTAAGCCTACACTGTATCTGCTACATGTATATCTGTTCTTCCCAGTTTTGCCTGATATTAACATCTTGAGAAACTGTGTACATTACACTTTTCCCATTCATGTGCTTGCAGAGTTATAAAATGTCAGGTGACTTAATACATGTTTTATGTATACAGATCATCTTCATCATCTTATAACAGCACATCACAGCTCATGTACCATCTAACCCAAAAGCTCTCCAAAATCAGTACGACTTCCTCTGACTCTGCTTGCTTTTGAAACAGGATCTACGTTGCTGTGAATCACTGACTAGAAAACTCCCTAATGCTCATCATGGTCTGGGCCCCCCTTTATCAGCAGAGGGGCAGATAAATTGTGAGATTTATGGGCATTTAATTATATATTTACAGGTGCTTCTTATTCAAAGGTGTTCTGAGTTTGAGACTAGAAAAGAGTGGCAAGCTGAGGAAAGCCCAGAACCAAGGGATAAATGTGGCTAGTTAGTCCCAAAAGCTGAATGGCCAAATAGTTTTGTGACAAAGGACTAGAAAATAGAAAGCAGTGCTGCTGATGAGCTTAGAAAAGTTATTTTAAAACCAGGGAACCATAGAAACATCACACAGCTGAGCCAATAGGACATGAGTGGAACAAAAACAGCTTGAAACCAAGGAAGAGGGGAAAGGAGGCAATAGGTAAAAAAAGTTTGAGAAAGTGGCAGGAGTTTCTAAAGTAGAGAAATTTCCCATTATTCTCTGAGTGTGAAGAGCATGCAGATGAGTTTTTAATCAGCTGGAGACCAGGTGACAATAGAGCAAGTGCGTCTCTGTGAAAGTGTAGGCAAAGTTGGAATGACTATGTAGTTGTCATATCGGAGCTGAGGGATTTCTAGTGATGGGTGTGTTCAGTCTCTTTTGGTTCAAGAATTACTGCAGGAAACCTATTTGATTTAATGTGACTGCACTTAATATTCTATCATCTGTTCTCAAAGGTTGTGTTCATTAATTCTCTGATGCTTTGAAAACCCAAGCATGGAAAGCTGACAATGCAATAACAGGAAGCACAGAGTGAGGTCACTCCCAGAATGACTGGCCTATGGATGCAAACTAGTCCTAAGTTTTTCTAAGGTGACGTTTAGCTGCATGGTCAATTGCTGAGGTGAGTAGCTCGAGAGAGGACGCCTTCAACACCGGAGCTGGGGGGAGATCAGCGTCCAGGAGCCTCAACTCGGAGCGACGAGAGCCACCGAGGGAGCCTCAAGTCCTCGACAGGACCTGCCCGGGAGCAGGCAGCTCAGCTGACGAGAGCAGGGAGGGACTCACAGGGGGCAGAGCCTGGAGCAGCGGCACCAACCCTGACTGGGTAAAAACCTGCCCCAGGGAGAGAGAGTGTCTAGGGTCGCGGCGCGGTGTTTGAGCGGGATTGTGAGCGCTCGGCTTATAACTAGGGCCCGGTCCGGGAGCTCTGCTCTGGCTGCCCCGGCGGTGGCCAGCGTAGGCACCCAGACAGAGCCGATGAGAGGGGAGGCTGCAGTGCAGAGCTCGGGGTGTAGAGAGTGCCTGCACTGGTCTGGTGAGGGGAGGGTGCGCAATGGGCAGGGCTGCACCCGGTGCTCCCTGGTGGAGGTGCTCCTGCAGCAGGGGCTGAGCTGCGGGATGCTGTTAATAGGCCGCGAGATGTCAGGCAAGCTGAGAGGAAGCAGGGCTGCTTGCTCCAGGCCCAAACTGTGCAGGGGCCTCGAGCTTCACCTCTACTTCATGAAGGAAAGAAGGAGGCCGTTAACCTGGGAAGCTGGGAATTAGTGAAAAAAAAAAAAAAAAAACAAAAACCCACAAAAAAAAAAAAAAAAAAAAGAAGGAAAAGGACAACCAAAAGCAAGGGGCTTCCCCCTAAATCCCCTGTCCCCACGCAGAACCGCTTTGCTGTCCTGCAGGGGGCTAATGAAGAAACGCACTCGAGCCAGAA